TCGATCCAGGTTAAACCAAGTGTCAGTACTGCAAAGGAAGAGTGAGGTAAGCAAAGTGGACATGGCTCCTAGACTGGGATTGAGTCCTGGCTCCACCACTTACTAGCTGTTTGACCTTGGCTGTGTCACCTAACCTTTCTTGGCCTCAGTGTCCTCATTGCACTGTGGGGGAGGCGGCTGCACCCAGACTTAGTAGAAGAACCCACCAGAATCCGGAACTCACCTCCAGGTGGTTTTATGGGATCATCTAATCCTGTTATCCTAATTTTGAAAAAGAGAGACAACTCAGCAGAGCCATTAATGTCAAAGCTTTTGCTTATATCAATATATTAATCTAATGGGAAATGCTCTAGAATTTTGTAGATATTCATGTCCCTCAAACAATTGCATCACATTTAAGATCTTTCTCAGAAGAACGTGAATTTATTCTAAAGTATTTTCTCTTGAAACCTAGAGGGTAAAAGTTCTACATATTTGGATACATCATTTTTAAAAAGTATTGGTATTCTCCCTTAAACCTCACAAAAGTCTTACAGAGTAGCTACCCTTAATTCCCTTATTAGAGATAAGAAAATTGAGACTTGAATATTTAGCAAGTTTTCCAGAGGCTAACAGTTTTCAAATTCCAGATCCAGGCCCAGAAACATTGGCAAGATTCACTTCACTCCACCCTACTGAAGTTGTTACCCAAGAGAAGGATTTGAAGATCTGACCCCACCCAAATGATTTCTTAGCTTCCTTCTCAGAGGTAAGCATGGAGAGTAACACTCAAGTTGATTAGGAAATTTAAGATGCGTTTTATGTGATTTTCATTTGGAAGGCTAACTTTTCCAGCCTCACAAACATGAGAAGATTATTTGATAGGTTATGCTGGGTGAATATGGAACTTATGTCTGAAATGGCTTTGTTCCTTTCTCAGAAGGTAACATAGTGCATTGCGTGAAATAGGCATTTGTTAATGTAGGATATATGGACTAATTTTTGTAGTTGAACCTCTATTTGCAGGATGTATTGACGATTGTTGAGTGTCCTCCTATGGACGCTTAGCTGTACAATGCTAACAAATAAAATTTGTACATCTAATCCATTTAGTTTAGCAAGTGATCAATTGAATGAAAAAAGTCAAACTGATTGTCTATTTTTACTAAGTAACCAAACTAACTTCTCTTTTCAGTTCAGCAACTTGTCAGTTCACTCTAACCCTTTGGCTCCTAAGTGATGCAGACATGAGTCTCTGTTCTACAGACAAGAACTTAGCCTAACAGCCCACTCCACTGTAGGGACCAGGCTTGTGATGGAAAAACAGCAATTTGCCCTCCTTTGGACATTTTGATAAATGATAAACATATTCATTTCCAAACCTCAAAATTATCGCTGGATTTTTTTTTAAGCTAGCAACACAAAATTTGAGTCCTATATTCACCAAATTCAAGGAACAGAATCTCATAGAATTATGAAGTCCACCCAATCAATGGAATTCAGCCACTACATGGCATGATTGCTGTAATTAGTCGAATGGTATAATTATAGTAAACACATGATAAGTTGCCACTGAAGCACATAATTGCACAGTATAATGGTATTATTATGATTCCTGATGATATGATTTGGAAGTATAACAAATGCCCATAACAATATTAAAACATTTTTCATCTGTGCATTTTCTTAGTACCTGATTTGGACTTTTTACATTTTGGGGGTTTAAGTCAAAGACAGGAAATCAGAGCATGTTTTCAATGAAAGAAAAAGAAGTTATTATTCAACATAATACCTTGTTGAGAATGTGGGTAGAAAGAGATAAAGGACTTATGAAGTCAGTCATTAGGATAACCCTAAACAGGTATTATAGTTAATGGTTACAATGCAAGAAAACACCTGTACAAACAGGGATGTTATTTCATGTCTATTCCATGTCTCAGGAATTTATCATTTTACCATGAAAATAAGCTCTCCCAGTACACAGCACTGTCCACACTATCTTTCTATCTTTATTTATTTATTTATTTGAGACAGAGTTTCACTCTTGTTGCCCAGGCTGGAGTGCAATGGCGTGATCTCGGCTCACTGCAACCACTACCTCCCAGGTTCAAGCGATTCTCCTGACTCATCCTCCTGAGTAGCTGGGATTACAGGTGCTCGCCACTATGCCCAGCTAATTTTTTGTATTTTTAGTAGAGACAGGGTTTCACCATGTTGACCAGGCTGGTCTTGAACTCCTGATCTCAGGTGATCTGCCCGCCTCAGCCTCCCAAAGTGTTGGCATTACAGGCGTGAGCCACTGTGCGCAGCCTATCTTTGGTTTTAATGTCCCTAGGAGAAGACAGTGTTTTCAAGGCATGTGCACATTGGTTATATATGTGTTGTCCTGAATTCTTTTTAGATATAGATTTTGTATGCTCAGAAACATTTTTATTTCATATAATTTGGGAATTGAAAGAAATCTTAGAGTGAGAGTTGAGATGCATAGTTCAGGAATTCACGGACTCATTTTATTGAAGGTGCTGGGTGTATAAGTGGAAGTACATTCTTCTTGGAAAGGGATTTTTATCATGGTCATTAGTGGAGTTGTGAAGCCAGAAAGGTCTACCTGAGAGATTCTACCATCCATCTCTATTGGGGCTGAAATCTTCTGCACAAATGCCTATCAGATCTTTATTCCACTTCAGCTTCAACCTTCGTAATAAGGAGCCTCTAACTAATCTGTAAAGTAGAAACCATGAGTTCTCTGCCTGCCAACCTGCTAATGCAGTTTAACTTTCTTTTTTAAACAATGAAGTATAATGTTCCTTTCTATTAAGAACGCAGTTCACAAAACCTCCTAGCCACACATCGTCTAACAGAACTTCCTATGATAGCGGAAAATCCTCTACCTGCACTGTTCAGTAGAGTAGCCACTAGCCACATGTGGCTGTGGAGCACTTGAAACGTGAATGATACATCTTAGGGACTGAATTTTTTATTTAACCTAATGGCAATTAATTTATATTTAAATTTAAATAACCATAAGAGTGGTTATCATATTAAGTAGCCATAAGAGTGGCTACAGCACAGCCCTTCACATTGTTTTTCTATGCAGGCTCCTCTTCAACACTATTTTACTCACTTATGGCACTGTACATTATGTTTTGTTAATTTACACATGCAGTACTGTATTATCACCTAAGCAAATGTACAGCTGTAAGCATTATAAAAGGTCAATAAATATTGCTAGTAATCAAGGAATGACATCATTACAGATAATGAAATAGCATGACAAAATATAAGAGGTAGTTAGAATCAGTCTTGCTTTTACTGAAGAAGATTGTTCATGGAACTGGGAGCCATGATCACATCATGGTGTAGGTTTTCAGGATTTCAAATTATTTTGATGAGTTTCACACTCTTGATATTTATCTAAAGTTAATTCAAGATTTTTCTATTTGACGTTTCCCTGCCATGAATGGGGATGGGTTTTACTGTAGTGTGAATTTCCAAGTGTCTTTCTTTTCTTATACCCTGAAGATTCAGATTTTATGATGCATTGTTTATTGCTTAATTTAATTGCACCTCTAGAGAAAGGAGGAGAGATCGTTTCATCCTAAAGCTTACTGTGAAAAAGATAAAGACACAGAATACAGAACCATAAAAGAATTAAGAATCCCATCTTGCTAGAAAGTAAAGTCTATGAACTGGGAACCCAATTGTCATTTTGAATAATAATTTAAAATATGGATGAGAAATGCATATTTTGAATGCATTTTTATTGCATTCATTCTCTTACTTTTTTTCAACAAAAAGTGCTCTTGACTTAGAGATACAAGAATAAACTAAAACACAGATCCTGCCCTCCATCTTGCACAGATAACAGACATTAATCCAGGAACCTCAAAAATAATGATCAGTTATGTTCCAGAAAATTCCACAGCACTCTGAGGGCATTTAACTATTAACTAAGCAATCTGTTGTCACCCCAGGAAGAAGTGACATTTGGGGTGGTATCTGAAGAAGGAACACAGAGTCTCCCAGGCAGAATAGTAGCAAATCCATGTTAACATGAGGCCATCTGTTCCCTGGAAGGGGAAGAGGAGAGTCACATAAGGCCAGGCAGGAGAGGTACTCAGAACTGGAGCTTAGAGTTAATGCCAGGGAGCTGGTCTCTATCTCAAGAGCAATAGGAACCAACAGTAAGAATATCAAGGACAGAGTGGGAAAGTAGAGGTAGAACATGACTCAGCAGGCATGTTGAAAATGATCTTTCTAGCTGTATGGGGACAGGGGCTGGAAGGCCAAACATTTTCACACTTTCTGCCCACTGTCCAGGCAGGAAGAACTGCATGTTGCCCTGGAGAGATTAGAATGCAGATGAAAGGCGTGAGTGTACTTGAGGAATATTCAGAAGGTAAAGTTGGCAGGGCTTGGAGAAGGAATGTGAGTAAAGAGGAATATGCTCACCATGGATGTCACCAGGTTTCTGATGCGAACTGTGCTGTGGAGCTGCCACTTGCTGTGAGAAGAGCCGTTGGCATTCTCAAGAGGGCAGAGATGAGTGCTCAAGGGAGCTGGCAGTGGCAGAATCAAGCGCTGGAGAACCAAGTGTTCGTTCTTGTGGAGCAAAGCAATCTTTCCAGAATCACAAAGGTGTCAAAAATACAGGAAGAGCTTCATTTAGTTTTGGGGTGTGTGTGTGTGTGTGTTAAACACAAAATACACAACTCATCATAATCATTCATTTTCTGCTTTTTGGTAGTCTATTCAGTTTGCTGATGGCACTTAGCCTGTGCCTCTCTCTGAGAAACGACTCTGCCCTTGGTTTACACAATGATCAAGTTCAAGATAGAGGCTGCCTGGCAGACATGCTTCCAACTGTGTCCCATGGCACATAGCCAGTGCTTCACAAATGCTCCCGGCTGAACATAAGCAATGCCCCGACAGACTCTACAATCTCTGTTGCCTTGTAATGAAAACAGTGCACGACTGCATTCCCTGGATTCCAACTGTTTTACTTTTTCATAGAGGATGTCCTCAATACCTCACCCTGAGCCAAGTCAATGTGACTTGACCACGTGGATAAGCTTCCTAGGGCTGCCATAACAAAGGCCCACAAATTGGGCGGCTTCAAACAACAGAAATGTATTGTCTTGCAGTTCTGGAGGCTAGGGGTCCAAAATTAAGGTGTTGGTGGGACCATGTTGCCTCTGAAGG